CAGAGTACAAAAAAGTTTTCATTAAGGAATATTATCAACGTGAAAAAATATCTAGCGCTATCTATTTTGGTCACTGCATAAATGCTTCTGGTCGAGTGCTGGATCTGCAAAGTAGCCGGCCGTGATGGAAATTCCACATTGAAAGGTAAAACCTCATTTATCCTCGTCTCATGCTAGTTTCAACTTCTAAGGGTTGCCGTTCTTAAGAGGACGACAACTGGTTAATGGAAAAACCCATTTTTGAAGACAAGATTTATACAACAAATGGAATAAGCAACAAAAATCATCGAGAAAATATCGTAATATTGACAGTTCACTTTGTCTTTCCACATTTTTTATGAGTAAATCGTTCTTTTTTTTCAAACTTAATTTATTAATAACAATTGCAATTTTCCACCTGCACCAAAATCCTTCAAAAACATTCTTCTAGAGGTGATTCCGAATCGAATGAGCTATCGCTCATATTTTTAGGACCTTTATCTCTATTTTTCATGTTTTTGAATTTTTTGATTAGACTATTATGGAAGTCGTAAATAATCCGACTAATTTTGGAATACTCACACTTGAGAATATCAGTTACTGGTGCTCTTCTAGGCCACTTCTTTTATGGGTTGGAAATATTCACTTCTTCGTTATTTGCAGAAATTAATTAATCCCCTTCTTTAACCACTCTTTCAATGGTTCTTATTGAAATACCTTATACAAAATAAAGATTTGTGTTGAAATATTCATTTAGTTTTACCTGTAGCGAGATATGTTTTATTTTTCACATTTGATAACGTATCCGACTCACATTTAACACTTTGAAAATAATTGAACACTCTAAAAATTATTTCACATCCCTGACGCTTGACGACTGTTTCTTTGTTAGGCAAGGACATTTGTTTAGAAACAAAAATTATTCAAACTCACAAGAGCTGTAGTGGGGGGTACATTGAAAATGAGTTTGTGTGCATTGAGGCGGGCTCGCCATCACGTTTGGCGCTTGCTGTATGGATATTGATGTTTATCTGAGTTTTTCTCCTCATTTGGTGTTCAGAGTTAGCTTGACCTTACTTGAATCTAATTATAACTATATGTATATGAATGTTATTGTTCACCGTAGTTTCTTCTTCTTTTTTTGACTTTTCTTTCCCGTAAGGGTTCGCAATGATAACTCTAATATTCTCACGAATAGAGTATGGACAACTGATTTTTCGGGTTTTGATCCGTGTTTTGTGTTTTCTCACTGGAAATAATTTCACAACGTTTCGAAAGTCTCATCTGCCTTCTACTACTGATGTTTTCGTGGTATTCGGAATTTGACCTTACTCGAATAGATATGGATGTTGATGTTTACCTGAGTTTCCTCTTCTAATTTGTTGTTCTGAGTTAGCTTGTCCTTTCTCAAATCCGATGCTTACTATATTGGTGTGGCTGTTAATGTTTACCGAGATTCTTCTCATTTGACCTTTTCTTTCCGTAGAGGTTTTCAATGAAAACTTTAATATTCTCACGGATACCAATATAGTAAGAATTAAATTTGAATGAGGCAAGCTAATTCTGGACACCAGATGAGAAGAGGAAAATCCGGTCAACATCAAATACCTATATAGTAAGAACTTGATTTGAGCAAGGTCAGTCTAATTCCGAACACCAAAGGTAACATCACCGGTAGAAGGCAAATGAGACCTTGCCGAAACGTCGTAAAATTAGTCCCAGTGAGGATAAAAATACAACACGGATCAAAACCCGCATCATCTGTACCAGGCGTACGGTTCTAGATTGAAGACATGATGTGAAGAATCAATAAGCTTACTTTATGTGCGATGTCCTGTCTAATTGCGTATCCTCATTGCTTATTCTATTCAGGGCTAATTCTACATTGCTAATTATGTTTTCAACCGGTATGCGACCTGATACGACAGCAAAATTGAAATCTTTAGCTGTCGCCTCAGTAGACGCCACATCCAGGTAATAGCTCGAATAGTTATAATTCACCCTGGTGAGCTCAATCCTTGGTATGTTTTTCAATTCACTATAACTCATTATTGCCAATCTCTTCATGAAAAAATCGGAAATTGAAACCAAAGTAGTAGCAATATCAAACTTGAAACCAAAACAGGATCATCCTCATTTAGTTCTTGATGTAGTTGAATTTTAGAAGTTTAACATACATCATCTTCACCAGCTACTTTTCTTGTAGGTTTCTGTGGGTTTTTCGCAAAAAATAATGAAACATCTAATTCCTTGTCGTCGTTCAGTTCACCCACCCCATGCAATATCTCAATTCTCTTTGGGTCTCAGATAGACGCATTTCGATACAATTACAAAAAAGTTTAGAAATTTCCGAAGAAAGTATTCATATGTCACAAATGTCAAATGTCACAAAAACATTCGATGCTACTTTTTTGACAACAAAATAACTAATAGACTAGTCAATCGTTACAGGTATTTGTCCCAAGGGAGATCTGATTGTATTAAATAAAACTATTTTTTTCTAGGCATCTCATTTCAAAAATTAAAAAAATGCCTATATGGCTGAATAGAGAATTGGTAACCCTTTCGAACGAGTTATCACACGCTACCATTCAAGTTCAAGATTTCAATAAGTGTAGCTATAGCTATATAGATAAAGTTGAGTACTATCTTTATCATTTCCAATTTGATTTCAATTCAAGTGCTACCGGTAGTCAGCTGTTTTAGTCTGTTGGGTATCTTCAGCATTGAATACAAAATGTGAAGAACCAAGAAAAGCACTTGATAAAAATGACTGCGTGACCGCAAGCGAGACATAAGTGGAACCACCTATTGGTATGACACACAAGGTAAGTTTTTATGTCAGTGTTGGTAGTTTGACCAATGAACCGACAACTGCAGTGGTAGAAATTTGGGAAGCTATCCTGCAATATCATCAGAAAACGAATCCATACGTTTCTAGAAATGATATTAAATCGAAAAAGGTTAATACAGTCAAGATGCTGAAAAATAATTCCATAAAAATAAAAATAGATAAGTACTATTCTGATCATTCCCAATTTGATTTCACTTTCAATATATCTTTCCCATATTTTGTGAGGTACGAATATATTTATCAGAATTATTCTAATCTGCTTGTTACCATTAATTGAATACCATTATTTATGTGGTAAACTGAAATTGAATGGTTAATTTTCCAGTTCTAGACATAGAAACACTAGTTTAGCACCTATTTTTGAAAATGATTACCCACAAGCTGAATCTGAATACACTTCGTAAAGGTAAATGGTGTCGATTTGGTGAGTGTAGAAAATGTTGCGGTAACAGTTACATTTTTATCAAAGCTTCGACATAAATTGATGAAATACTCTAAATATCTTTGTCCTACACAATGGATTTCAGGACTGAAGGGTTTTCCACTTCCAATATGTATGTATCAATGAAGATTTCATGAAAAATTGAATAAACAATTGAAAATAAAAATATTCACCTCTCCCAACTTCCTGGCAAATGCAATATACCTCACAGAGATTAGTCTCGTGGATGGTTCTTGTTCATCTTTCGTTTATATTTTCAGTTTTGCAATAGAACTATTCTTAGATAATTTGTATAATTTTCAATTAATTCCGTGATTTTTTTCTCGTATTCTGGGCAGGCCATGTTAATAACTCCCCTAGCCAAATATATAGCGTGCATCAAGACTACTTGCAATCCATCAGCCCAACTTTGGTTGAATGAATTATCTCGAGAAATATACCTGGTCGAGGTGCGAATCGAATCACTTCCGTTAATAATTGTTTTAAGTAAAATTGATAACAAGTGTTATGAACACGAAATAAAAACAAAAATCATGAGCTACTAATTTTTGAGCAATACGTCTTTTTCTATTTCATTTTACAATAAAAACCATCATACACCAACATTAATTTTTATGTATAAGTTGTGTTTTTACTTTTCATTATATCCATATAATAGTGCTTATCAGCTTGGCTAGACGAATGAATATATAAATTCAAGAATACAATTTTTATATCTGTTTGAATATGTTTTTCCGTTAACCAGCTGTCGCACCCCTACGAACGACAGCCCTCAGAAGTCGAAACTTCTTACCTTTTAACTTGTGGATTATATGAAATAGTTACTCAAATTTAAAAAACTATATTTTATAACCGTATTTTTCTACTGTTTCCATTACTTTTCCATATAAATCATCATTTGAATTGAGCAATGACTACAAATTGAAAATAATACATATCGCGACATATTACGTATATTGAATAGCAAAACCGTCATTCCAAAATATTTCGTTGTTTTGAATAATTCTTGCCGGACTAGCGATACGTACTCGTTTTTTTGTGGGACACTGTATTATACAGATGAAAAATATATCAACCCATCATGTACTTATGATTTAATGTTCGGAACCTTTGGTGTAGTAATGAATATTTCTGGAGTTTTTTCCGTTATTTTTTGTTATTTTTAACGATTTGGTGTTGGAAGGAAGATAAAACTCCTCTTGAAGATGATCACTTGGTGATCGAAACACGTGTCGAGGTGTTAAGAATAACAATTTGGTGTTGGGAAAAAACTCCAGTAATATTCAACCTATCATGTGTTATCATTGTCCTATAGTTAGTCATACAAATTTTTAACCATGGAATTGACAATTTCCATGCGTAGGACTGGCAAAACATACATACAATATGATCATTCAATTATAAAAAATCCGCCTGCTGGTGATTTTCAGGACCTCTTTTTTTGTTAGGTACACATTTGAAATGGGAAACGAAAGAGTGTAGAGTTACTACAATATTTTTTTTGTACGACAATTTTTACCTTAATGTTACGGACTGGCAAGCACAAGAAGAACGTTAGAAGGGAAACGATCAAGTTGGAAATAGTGAAGCATGTCTAGATCGAAAAAAAGTTCTGAGAAGTAGGTTTGTTGTGAAACAATAACGGAATATGGCTATGGGCTTCATTGTTGACATGAATGGAAGACTTTCATAAGCATATTTAGAATTGAATAATTCTCATCTCACCTGATCGATTGAACTTTTGAAATTCCTAACATGGGAAACAACATCTTCAGCAACCACTCTCGGCCATCCTTTCTGATTATGTGGATTGGAGAGGACTGGGACGAAAACTCCTTCCATAAGAACAGCCAGTTCTTCAACCGGTTTACCACCCATATCTCCAAAACTGAGTACACTCCTAAAATTCTCCATTGTCACTTCTTCTTTCTTCTTACGAATAAAATATGTAAATTTTTGTTTGATGGTATTATTAAACTGGGTCAAAGGAGTGAGAAGCCCAGTGCTCGGTATTGTCAGGATCAACATTTTTTCATTTATATCGTTGAAGAATTTCATTATTATTTTCTGTAAAAGAAAACTAAATCATATGACTTGACAGAAATGTCATTTTGTTTCTGAAATACAGATATTTTATTCATAAAATTATACATTTCTGAACTACGAATTCTGTTCCAGAAAATGTTCGCATATCAGCGATCTTCCACAAACTTCATATTCAGTTTCTATTATGACTTTTCAAATATACACATAATTGATTTACGACAGCAGCTCAATGTATTTATTTATATACATATGAAAATTCAAAAATACCGACTAAAATCCTAAGTGATAACAATTTCATTGCAGTTACGAAATATATGGTTGAGTTCTAATAAAATATTGAGTATAGACGAAACAGAGACTCTAGACAAAAGAGCTGGCCAGAAAATAACGGTGAAGAATTGAATCTTCAATTGGCTAAATAATGATAGATGAAATGGTAATCGAAATCAATTAATTCTTTCTCAAATAATATGTTATTAATTAAACAAATTGAATGGATTTTCCTATGGATGTCTTCGGAAAAGAAACGAATCAATGTTTTCAATAATGAATACAGCTCCAGATGAAAGTCAAAAGTAAGGAAGAAATAAATATTTAGTATTCCATTACCAGTAGTATTTTTTTAAAATGGTGCTATTCAGTAACATCTCATTTGTATCTCCAACATTTGTTGGAGGGTCATTTTATGACCCTCAGTGGCTTCGTAGTGTCGCAGTGTAATAATTGTAGGGTTCCCGATGAAGAGACAATAAACGCTTCGAAAGCTAGAACAGGAAAATAGTTCCACAATATTTTTTCCTCTGACTGCTATACTATTTTTCTGTACAAAAAACAATAGGTATGGCGCTCATAATAGAAAAAAAAATTGATGATGATTGTCAGATGACGAAACGTCGGATAGTAAACCCGAACATGAACACGTGTAGCTGAAAGAAATGTTTATAAAAAATGTGTTTTTGGTTTTGAACTATGTTGTCGAATAACGCAAGAAAAAAATAAAAACGAAAATTCCGATTTTGAGTTTTTTCCAGAAATATTCGGTATTTCCCAAGTTTCAAAACAGTATTTTGTTATGCACAAAAAACCCAACTTTTCCCCAATTTAAACTTCGACGTATCTCCTGTAGTTTTCGAGATCCCAATGATAGAGGTCAAATTTGAATTACCCTGTGTATCTATACAGTCACGATGACATTTGGACATGACATGAAATTGGAATTCGAAACGAGCGAGTAACAAATTTTGTGATGCACTGTTTATAAACTTTGGTGTAGTAATGAATATTCCTGGAGTTTTATCCCAACACCAAACCGTTATTTTCAACACCTCGATACGTGTTTCGAAAGGAAGATCAAACTGTTCAACGATGATCACTTGAACACTTGAAACACGTGTTGAGGTGTTGAAAATGATGGATTGCTATTGGGATATAACTTCAGTACCATTCAAATAAATTTTGTTAAATCGGAATATTCAAGTGAAAAGGTAATTATATGTTGCAATTATATATTATATGTTGCAAACTCACTTGCAATTTTTTGGTTTTTCTCTTTAGAATTGTAAAATAAGCCTAACCCTTGAGGTGAAGGATTGAAAAGCGTGACCATGTTGAATTTTCAAGGGTTCAATTTGACATGTCACTGTTATCATTCTTTTTCCAAAAATTGGAGATATTGAAAAAAAAATATTCTTATCATAATAAGCTTTGACTTTGATGTATCTAAATTTGACTTTCAATTCAATACACTAATTGACATTTTATTATTGTACAAGTCATTGAATTTTTGGCGAAAAATGGCTTTTACGAATGAAGAAAAAAGAGATATGATACAAATTAATACAAATACGATAGAAACAGTGTTAGGGCATCGGAGAAGTATTTAAACTGTATCCCAAAAGACGACACATCGAACTATGTTCAAGTTATTGGATCAAAATCTCACCTAGATTTGGTTCATTTGAAAAGCCGAAGAAAAAATACGGAGACAGAATGGACCAGGAAACTAAAGAAAATTTGATAAATTAGGTATTTATATAAGAAGTAATAATTTGCAGAAAAACATGAACCCAGGGAAATCTACACTTCAAATTTCCTCCGAAATGAATGTTTGTCATACAAGTGCTTGGAGACATCTCAAAAAAGCGGTTTGAAATGTTACAAAATACACATATCTCAAAAATTGCATCCAGGTGATCCCGAAAGGAGATTAGAATTATGTAATTGGCTAATAAGAAGACCTGATTTTGCTGTTTTCTGGAAAATGTGATTTGGACAGATGAAAGCACTTTTACGAATTGTGGGATATTCAACTGAAATAACAAACACATTTGGAGCATAACCAACCCCAGGCAGTTCCGAGAAATTCGACATCAAGTGCCATTTAGTATTATGATCTACCTTCTGCTAACTATAACAACATCTAACGAGTATCTAATTATCTGACTTAAAAGTTTGGTGATGAATGGATAGGAAATAATGGGCCGGTGAAGTGGCCAGCAAGGTCTCCAGACCTGAGTATTATAGATACATTCTTATGGGGTACACTGAAAAATAGAGTTTATGGTCAGAGAGAATACCAAAATATTGAGGACCTTCAACACGACATTGTTAGAGACTTCGGAAGATTGAGGAGTAGGAAAATCAATTGTGCAGTGAATAATTTCCAAAAAGGACACAGTTGTGTTGACATGAATAAGGCCATCATTTCGAGCGATTGCTATGATTTACTTTTTACATTTTAGTTGATTATTGTTATTTGTTCAAAATTTTATTTTCATTGAAAACGGCACAATGTCTAACTTACCTCATACACGACTCATTCATCAAATTTTGATTATTGATTTTGTCTCCGTATTTTTTCATTGACTGAAGTTATTCCTGCATATGCTGTTGGCGATACAACTGCCGCAAAGAATCTTGCACCTGTCGGATGTAATCCAACGCCCTCAGTGGTATTAGTCAGGAAAGTAGTTGTTTTTTAATAGGTGTCAGTCCATTAACCTACAGTGTAGAGAGTTGAGACTGGCCTGAACGAATTGTTCCTTCAAATCATTAGATTTATAGTCAGTTCTCAAGTACGCCCAATGACTATATGTGAAAAGTTTTCTTTCCTTGTACGAGGAATTGGGCAAATTTCGGATATGCGGTTGGTTACCTGGTTCACAGGCAGATGGGTCGATGACAAACCCGTTGTTTGTTGTCCGCTTCAGCCTAGTTCGAGGATTGCTACTCTGAAGGAATTCAATTTTCAGTTATCGGAAATCATCAACTTTATGTTGATGATAGGCACTACCTTGCACTGACGAGTGGCCAAACAGCCCAAAACCGGTCTGCAAGTGAGGTCCAATAATTGAAAATCTATTGCGGCAGTTGTATCGCCAACAGAAAATGCAGGAATAACTTCAGTGAAGAATCCTGCACTGCTGACACCTGTTGGATGTAATCCAACGCCTTTCGTGGTATTAGCCAGAGGAGTTGTTGTTTTCTGATAGGTGTCAGTCCATTAATGTACAGTGTATGAACTTGAGACTGGCCTGAACGAATTATTCCTTTAAATGATTTGATTTATAGCCAGTCTTCAAGCATGCCCACTGACTATATGTGAAAAATATGAACTGATCTAATTGTCTTGTATAATAAATAATGACTATTTCAATTATAGCTCATTTTCTGAATTTATTTTTCAAAGTATAGTTTTTGTTTTATTGTTCGTAAAAGGCACTCGTGCACTGATATATTATAATTGAAACTAATATCAATTAGTGTTCTCGAATATCAATGAACCTTTCATTATAATTTCAGAAAAAAATCAATCACTACAACATTTATCTGAATGCGATTCTAAAATAATACTGTGGCAGCTATCCCCGTAAATAGTGTGCTTGATCGGTCAAAAGGGTCAAATTTTAAAGCACTCCATTTGAGCCTTGAATCGCGTGAAGTAACAGATTCTGTGGACATCATTTCATGAGTAAGGTGTGTTTTCAACACATATGAAAGAGTAATTCAACTAAAATTTACCTTTTTCATTATCCATATACATGTGATGCCGATTTTGGCACAGCACAGTGAAGTTACTGGACTGTTTTTATGGCTGATCTGTCTATACATGACGAGCATTGATTGAAGAAAATATTTGATGGATTGTTTGTGAATTGTTAATTTTGTAAGTTGCCAATATAGATAAATAATTGAGATGCTAAGTGCCTGATGAAATTCCCAAAATTTACTTTTAGAAAATCCAATCAGTTCGCTACGCACCACCCTAACAACAAGTCAACAGGCCAAAATAAACAAAACGGTACAAATCTCATCCACTACCACAATATCTCAGTTTCACTCGGGTTTAACAGGAATGGAAAAGGTATCTTACAGAGTATAGGAATATATTTATATAAAACTAGGGACAGTTTTTCATTGAACGCTCTCAATAAAAGTGGTACAATCACGTACATCACTGATTGCTCTAAAATAATTTAGAAAGAAATAGGGATATCATTTTTGATTTATTCTCAAAATTGTTGAGATAGTAGTTCTTTTCTTCGGGTGATTGTTCCGAGAACAAGCACAATATAAGTCACAAAACCTATGCAATATTACATCAACTTTTAGTTGATTCTAATTAATTTCTGAAGAGTTGATTAGTAACTTTCATTGATAACTTTGCATCTATCCGAATAAGATGAATCACATTCATCAGACGTCTTTGGTGTCATCACCATCGACTGTGTTGGCCATTAGCCACGTGGTAGACTAATTAACTCACAGAGTCACATAGGGAGCATCATGATTATTCGCAGTCCACCAGCCACGTAACGTTGCAGAATCATACCAACGTTAACTGGATAAATTCTCTTGAGAAAAATATCTGGTCAAGGTAGGGATCGAACTCATAACCTTCCGATCGTGAGTGGGGCGCACTATCTCTGCGCCAATTTACAGTTGACGTTAATATCAAGCAATAACTTCTCGGAGTGGCATTATACTTGAGCAGATTATCTATTGGTCTAGATTCATTTTTCACAGTATATGTATCAATAAACAGTGAAACTTCTTCACAAAAATGTCTTCCAAAGGAATATCTACCATTTTATTACAAAATTAATGGACTCAATTCAATGGCATCGCCATCATCAAGTACCATTATTACCCAGACAGTGAGAACTCTTTGTGGAATATGAGAAATGCTGTGACAGATAGTAGTTATAATGTTGAAGTTAAAGTTACTATGCGCAAATATAAAGGACGTCCCCTTTCAGATGTGATAATTCTGAGAAATTTGACATCACTATATTTTTTGTAATACTGGTGGGATTATTGATTATCTCATTGAAATATTTTCCGACTGGAAGAAAAGCTGTACCTCCCTTTTTAATATTTATCAATTCTACTCTAAAGGTGAAACTCCAAATGTTTTGATATCCAGAAATTTTCTGTATTTCTTACTACCCCAACAGCAACAAAGCGATAGTTTCTTTTCAAAAATCCACGGAGGTATCAGAATGTTTCCTAAAATCTTGAATAATTATCTTTCAACAGACTGATTGAAATAGAAGAACCATAATAAAAAGTCAACTAAATGAAGATATGAGCAAACAAGGGTTATAAAACACAATCAGCTGAGATTGCATTTCAGATATCCTAGGTAAAAACATCATAATCATTAGAATGAGATGAAAAAGTACAATCACATAAATAGAATCAATACCACAGGACAGTAGAATCCAAAGATGAAAAAACGCTCCAATAGTTAGGAGAGTAAAACTCCAGTGATGTTTTTCTGTGTGATATGGGTATGAACAATTCAAATCAAATTTGGAAGTAACTATATTGAAAGAAAAAATTCCAATGCAATTTCTGATAATAGAGAGAGAAAAACTTAAAATCAGTTTTCAAACATAACAATGAAATTAAAGGGACTGAGAGAGAAAAGTGAGAGGAATATCTTATGCAAAAATATATGAATAAGAAAAATACAACGTAGTAAATAATCAGAATAAAAATGCTGAACATATCAATAACCCCAAATCTAAATCAATCACTGAATATAAAAGAAAGATTATCAGAAATAAATTGAAAACAAATAAATTGAGGATTAAACATCATTCAGAAGAAATACCAAATGCAACTGATAGAAATCATGCACATGCATGACGAGGGTTAAAATACCATGACTTGAGTGAAAAAGACCTCCATAAAAATATAAATTCTGGAAACGTGTTACTCCATAACCTGAACAAAATATAAAACCAATATGAATATCTGAAAAGGGTGAAAAATAACAGTATTTGCAATCCCTATTCAATATTATGGAAAAGTACCTAGATCGTTATCATTCTATAGAAGTTGTACAAAGTGAATAATCGAAATTTTCAACCACAATGTTCAGTGACATAAATAATTCAAATCCCATCAGTGATCAAATTGGTCAACAATTATACTCAGATGATAAATATATGTCAGAATCATATCAAATGATTCAAACACTCATACTCAGTGAACAATGTGTGAAAAACCATCATAAAGTTCAAGTACTGCACAGGACGTCTTTACTCCTATGAAAGCAACCTTCTGAAGAGTATTTTCCATTTTATTTTTGAAAGAATCAAACTTGTTCCATTTTTCAAAGCCCATAAAAACACTCTTTTCAAAGACAGCATAGTCCGCCAGGACATACTCAACACACTCATGATTACATTTTCCACATATTTGTTCAGTATTCTTTCACATATTAATATATTTAATATTAACAATGGACGTAATTCATCAAATTGAAGAAGTGTAAGTGTACGGAAATACTTTTTTATGAATGGAATGAGAGATTTCTCTAATCGTCTTACAATATGAAAGACAATATGAACGATTTAAATATTCTGTAAACAAAAATCTCATCAAGAATGTGGTAATATAAATAGACACGCAGTAACAAAACTGAAAATATAGATATATACACATATACAAACAACCGCATACTTTTTTGATGACATAATTTTTAAACTCTGTCACAAATATTTTGAAAAAGTTGTTTGAAAAATAAAAAAGGATTGATTCACAAGCCTTATGTGATACAAAATTCTCAAATTTGATAAATTGATAATATTTCGAAAAATAAAATTGGACTTTTTGTTCAAGTTATAGAGCAAGAGCTATGTATACGTTTTGCTTTCTATCATCTTGATAGAGAAAATGGGTTTGATGATATCTCATGTCTTTTGTAAATGTTTATAAGTTTTCAATTCAATATATAGTTGACGTTTCAGACCGAAGAAATATTTGCCTATCCAAAACAAAAATATATTTTTTATTAGTCAAATCAAAAAAATCAAAAGAAAAAAATTAAAAAAGAAGTGAAGTCTCAAACAATATCTCGTTAAGCAATAAGTTTGTCGAATACACCATTCGAATATTTTACAGTTTCTTGACAACCATCAAAGGAAAAATACACAAATTCTGAATCTGAACAAGAACTTGGTGTCTGTACAGATTTTTATTTGGCACGATTTGTTGTTTCTTCATACACAAGTAGCTTACAAGACTAGAGAGAAGTTCATATTCCGATGAATGCCAAACTTCATCGTTGATTATACCCACTTGAGAACGATTAGTTGATGGATGTAGCCGTTACTATGTGGTAGATTAATTATCATGTATAATGGGAAATAAAATATTCTGATAAAAAAGATAAGAAAGTTTGATTTCACATTGTTCATACTTGACAACTTTTTTTTTCACGATGTTGATACCTAGAGAAAATATGCCTATTTTCAGTTCCCAATTTTCCTCATATTATTTCAAGAAAAGAAGTGTACCCTATCCAAAAATGTTCTTTTATGAAAAACAAAACAAGGAGTGTCTGTCCTACCTTATTCTCCTCAATAGCAATCATTTTATTCCACTTCTCTTGTTTCAATCGATAGGACTTTGTGAGATAGGTTAATAAAAACTCCAATCGGTCATCCTGATCCTCCTCTTTGCCGTCTTCCTTCTTTTTCTTTTCATCATCTCCCATGTCCTCCGATTACGGAGAAAAATATCACGGATGACACCGCCGAAAACGGGTAAATTCGAAGCGTTCACTCTCAATAAACACCTCACTAAGCAACCGCGTAACTTCGTTTTCAGACGCGCGCTAGATAATCGATTTAATATTTACAAAACGACTTATGAGTTGTCATGTTGATGTATTTAGAGCTCGTACATAGAACCTTCCGGAAAATCCGATTTACGTGAAAATCATATGTCCTGGAGGTTGTTTAATAGTCTTATGAGGGCAAAAAAAATTTGAGCCGTCACGGCCGCTTGGCAGATGTTAAACATCAATATGATGATTTCTTGATACTGAAATATTCATAAAAAATGTGTATTCAAAATATATATGAAAACATTTCAACGTGGCTTTAATAAACGAATAAACTCAATAATCTTAGCTAGTAATTGCAATATATCTAAAGATCTTGAATTGTAAATATCAATTATGAATGTTTCAATATAAAACTCACCATTATTAGAAAATTACTTGATTATTGAATTTTTTTATTTTTCTGTTGAAAACAAATAGGCAAAACTTTCTTCCGCTACTTGCTATCAGCTCATTTTGAAATACAATTTAGTCAGTCTTTATTATTTATTCTTCAAGCAAATATTTTAGTGCATTATTTTTCATGAGAATGAATTCTACATCAATTGGTAACTAATTTAAAAATATTATGTGCTATGAAAATTTTGTAAATTTCAATTCACCAAGAGAATAGATTTAACATTCAATGATCGTTGAGACAGATCAATTGTACGCGGGCTTAATGCACAGATAAATATCAGCACACTTTAATTATGAAATATGAAATAATAATTAACTTAGTGATGACTTGAATGTGTGTAATAGTGTGATTTTTATTTCTTCGCAGGAGGCTGCTCACTTCACTTTTTATATTATAATTATCAAGTCACCAGTAAGATAATTATATTTTTATATTTTATAATTAAAGTGTGCATTTATCTGTGCATTAAATCCGTGTATATTTGGTCTGTGTCAAGGGTCATTGAATGTGAGATCTACTCTCTTGATAGATATAAATTTAGACAATTTCCATAGCATATAATAATTTAATTGCGTCACCAAAAATAATTTAGAATTGGGATTTTATTTTTCAAGCCCTTAGTGGAACTTAAGTTGGGAATTCTACGGCTTAAGAGCCTGCAATTGGGTCCCTTCAATAAAACAATATAATTATATGTACTGCAGGCTCATATAATCCTAAAATTGTGAGAATTCCAATATTTTCTGAGAGTAAATATTTGGCAATATCTCAAAACCTTGCTGTGATGTCCATTGTTGTTGTAATGCCTATTTGAACGACAAGGGAAACATTTTCATTTCTGTGAAATTGCATGTCTTGCAAATTGCAATCTTTTTCTTTGAAGTATACGTTGGGGGTTTCCTACCCAAATGTTATTAAACTTTGATAAAGCACTTACTATACAATTAGTGGGTTTTTCAAATGTCCAATTTTAGAATCTGACTCCTCCTGTCATTCTCAATTTTGTACTACCTTGACTTATTGTAATGCCTATTTGAACGACAAGGGAAAGATTTTTATTACTGTGTAATTGCAATCTTTTTCTTTAAAGAATACGGTCGGAAGAATACGGAAGCGTAGAAGGGCCAATGATCATTGTTTATTTGATCCACCATAATTTCGACTTAAAAGTAGAAATTTCGAGTTTTATCTCGTGATTTCGACTTTTATCTCTCAATTTCGACTTTCATCTCGCAATTTCGACTTTTATCTCGTAATTTCGACTTTTATCTCGTAATTTCGACTTTTATCTTGTAATTTCGACTTTTATCTCGTAATTTCGACTTTTATCTCATGATTTCGACTTTTATCAAATCACTTCGAAATTATGGTGTATCAAATAAACAAATAATCTTTGGCCCTTCTACGTAAAATTTCCTACCAGAATCTTATAAAACTTTGATAATGCACTTCCTATACAAATAGTGGCTTTTTTCAAATGTCCAAGTTTAGAGTCTGGCTTCTCATGTCATTCTCAATTTTGTACCGCCTTGACTTCAACTACTATTTTTCTATTGATTGATTTTTGCCAAAGTCGTCCTCCTTATCATAGCTAAGGCTCCGCCTGTAGTTGTAAAAAGTTTGGATCATTTTTGTATTGTAGTTTGTAAGTGGTTTTTGAGTAACCAATGTAGGGAACACTCGCTTTCCAATAAACTTAGAGTAAGCTAATTACTCGTATTTTCAATTTGCTACAAGTCTTATCGCTAGACTTGTAAGTAACCGCCCTATAAAGTAACTTCACAATTCTTATGAAAAATTGTTTTGGAATGAAATTTAATCATCAATTCTATTCATATTGTGGTGAATTATTCGTTAGTCAAACAATTTTTAAATGGGAAAGAAAGTTTTTGACTTTCTACTCTTCAATCTTGATACGAAAACACTTTCCCTAAGTTACGCATCTTACGACGAAACATCGATGTCTGCCAGTGAGGATGACAGTGTTCCATGTAAGTGTTATTCAATGTTTACATGAAAGTAGTTGTTTCAGTTTGTATCTCAAAGTTACTTCTTTGCATGATCTATACATCTATGTATAGAGTTACTTCTTTTGAAATGTATTGCTTCCTTTCTTTCGATAGAAGATATCCATATTATTTGTATCAAGATGGAGTTATAGAAAACCAATTTTTTTTTACAAAACTCAATCACTCCTATGAATATAACATTTTCTGGCTGGGATGTAATCAAATAAGCGAATGAATGTCAATACGATGTCATCGATGACATGTGTAGAGCAAACTCATCCCGTGACATAAAGTCGTAATTTATGAATAAATTATGTGTTTTCTCTCATAACGTTACCCAGATCAGTATAGAAAAGTCCTAAGGCAAGTGTCGAAACATCAATGTCTACCAGTGTGTGTATGTTTGAACTCAAAAAACTCAAAAATTACAGAACGAATGTTCATACGGTTTTACCGATAGAAGAGGAAAGTTTGTGTAGAAGCTATGTGAGTTTTGTGTGAATTGGTTAAAATATGACGATGTCATCCATGACTATTATTGGTTATGGTGCTTGTCATGCGAGCGTTCATCAAAAACGCTGCCTAATCAATACAAATCGTTTTTTTATAAATCCGTGAAAAAGTCCATGATGGCATATATTTATCTTTCAAGGGTAGCTCACTACACCCATCTCAATGTTTGAAATAATCATCACATATAATGTGGTAAAGAAAAAGATATCCAGACGAAAACAATATCAATCTTTTTCAAATGAGTACGTTAATTGCTTCAACAGTTCATGCACATTTTAATAGCCTTCTACATCATACAACTGAAGATATCTCTGGAACTATTGCAAAATTGAAAGTATCGCGTGAATAATAAATTAAAATGTCTGAAAAACCAATGTGCCACGCATAGGTCATTACTATTAAGTTGGCTGGGGCATCCGGCTTAGCTCTGGAGGAAGATATGTGATTGTAAAGTAGTTGGAATGAAAGAATGGGTAGCCTCACCCATGAAAAAAGGTTTTGGAATGGTCCATTATGTTCCAGAACATTCCACACCATTTGAAACTGTTTCAAATATTCCGCAATCTTCCTGAATGCTCCAGGATGATTTCCAAACTATTCTCGCATTTCGTATTATTCCATAATGTTCCGATATGTTCGGAAATGTTGTGGAATGATAATGAATACTGTTGAATGTTCTGAACCGTTTGTTCTATATATTTCTAGAGATTGTGATGACGATAGCTTTGCAATAGACGTTTTGAGTGGATAGATGAACGAAGGGATAACCTCAGTTTGAGTAGAGCAAAGAAGATGATAGCACAGCCAGCTATCGAAAGCGCTCGCATATAATAAATAGAAGTTATAAAGCTTCAAATCCTTTTTGTAGCATATGTTAATATCAAAATACTGAAAATGAAGGAAAATTACTTGCATCATTCAATCCCACAGTTCACAATCTCTCCGACACTCCACTGAACAAAAATGCACACAACATTTTATCTAAAGGTTTCAATTTCTCTATCACTCCCACTTCGATTCCAACCGAAAAACTCATCATTCAAATCAAATCTGCTATCTCTCACCTTCCTGATATGATAGCCAAAGAAACTCGACAAGATATCGCCACTTCTCTCAGGCGGGCAAAACTTTCCAAATCTAATATCACAATGGCCGAGAGACATTCTCTCAAAAGTCTCCACGAAAACCCAGACTTGATCATCCTCTTAACAGACAAAGGCAACTCGACAGTTATTCTCAAGACCTCTGACTATGTTGATGAAATGAGTACACTACTCGATTCCCCGGAATATCCACCCACCGATAGGGACTCAACAAGCTGTCTTGAGAAGAAAACCAAGACCGAAACTAAGAAAGCTCTCATCCCCCGAGAAAAATCCTCAAGTACCCCTTGCATATACGGTCTCCCAAAAATACACAAACCCAATGTTCCTCTTTACCCCATTGTTAGTGCTTTCGGTTCTTCAACACAAAACCTTGCTAAACATCTTGCAAACACTCTCTAACCCCTTGCAGAACAGTCCTCGTCATACGTACGAAATTAATTTCACTTCATTGAAATCCCCAAAAACCTCAACATCCAACAGACTGACATCCTTGTGAGTTTTGACGTAGTTTCTTTATTTACTCATATTCTCGTATGATACACATTGAACATTCTCGAAACGAAACACCAAATTTTCAAAAGCACCCTCAACATCATCAGTCACTGTATGTCCAGCACATACTTCCTCTTCCAAGATAGTTTCTACAAAAAAGTAAAGGGCGCCCTCATGCATTCTCCTCTTCCACCAATCCTTGCAAACCTCTCCATGGAACACTTCGAAACAAAAGCTTCGACCACAAACCCTCTTGCTGGTTCAGATACGTAGATGACGTTTTTGTCTTATGACCCCACGGCTCCGAAACTCTCCAAAATTTATTTTGTCACCTCAACGACGTCCACCCATGTATAAAATTCACAATGGAAATTGAAACCAATAACTCCCTTCCATTCCTAGTTGTCTTCATCACAAA